TGCCCGTATCCGCGTTTGCTGCTATGCATAGACTACCTGATTGCGGAAGACATTATTGAACGTTACGCCAACACCACGCCTCTCCGCAGTAGCGGCCACACCACCCGCGTAGCTGACGCCAGCAATAGCCGCCGCATGGTAGACTCCACAGAGTCCGGGGTGCTCCTTGGCGGCTTGGGCGCGCTGATCGCGCGTCAATCCTGTTGCTAAGGCTCCTGGCGGCTCGTCGTGACGACATGATGACGCCGTTCCGACCGCAACGGCAGCATCGAAGACAAATTCCCGGACGCGTGCGACATCATGCTCGTACGCCTCCTTGACCTGGATAAGGATGGCATGGGTGTCTCCACCCTTGAACTCCTCGACGAGGGGAGTGCCGGGGTATGCGTTGGCTGCCATGGGCTATCGTAGTGTGACGTTGGACGGAAGGAGTGGAAGCGGAAGATATCGGCGCGATATATATGACGATGTGCGGCAGGCGGTCGCTGCAACAGCGAAGTTGGGCCGCGTCGATCGGCGCTTGGTCACAAAGCGCTACCAGGGCCCAACTCGAAGAAGCACCTTGCCCACCGATGAAAGGAGGCTCCGTGCAACGCAGGGCTTCGGTTTGAAGGTCTCGCGTTCCCTCTTGAAGAAGAATATTATATCCTGAAATCCTGCTTTTCGTGCTCCGTTTACGACGCTTGCCCAAATGGTTCTCTAAAGAAAAGCCCTATCAAATGTCCCCTCGATTTTAGGGGACATTTGATAGGGCTTTGGGACCGAGGGGACATTTGATAGGGCGTTTAGACTTGAGACGGCCCCGGCGGGCGCTGTTCTCTCTCTTGTACACAGGCCACGGACTTTTAATGATCGCCCAATCAGAGGGCGAATGTCTTTTATTTTTTTTATCTTTTTCGCGATGCTTTGGTTGATCTCAAAAATCGCACCTGCTAACTTACCATAAAAAAGGTACATTCCAAAAAAATGGCCCCGAGGGGTCCGCACATCAATATAAATCAACGACAGATATTCTGGAGTCCTCCACTCCCTCTGCGCGCTTTGCGAGGTAATAACTGACTAGGGGTCACCATCACAGGCCGGAGAGAATGAGGTACACCCCCTTCAAGTATGTGGCAGTGTCGTTATGCCGGGATTTTTTTTTTTATTGCTGCCCGGGGACACGTTTTGCCAAAAATCAGAACGCCTTGCGAACCATCAAACAATAGGGCCACACTACACGGCTCGATATGGCACTTTGTTGTTGGTAGATATCTCAACGCATAGAGCTTGAACCCCAGGTGCCACTTCGAGGGTGCCAGCTGTAGGTGCGAGACACAAGGATTGTTCATTGTGACAGTAGCCGAACCGCTGTCGTCAATTGATGTCAGGCCCCAAACATCTCTCCACTCTGTCTCGCTATCGTTTTCCCTTTTTTTTTTTTCCTTCCCCCCTGGGGCTGCCACACCCCTTTCGATGTCTCTGGATCGCGGAGCCCCTGGAGAAGATCCCCTTGGGATTAGAATGGGAGGAGGGCCCAGATCCACCTTTCATGTTTGCCGATATCTGCATCCAGGAGGAAATAACCCCTAATACCATGGTGCTACAGAAAGCCAGCTTGTGTGTCCAACGTTTGGCTCAGTTCGCACGGGTCGGCGTCAATTTGGTATGCATGCGTCCTCCAAATCCGTCTGTTCAACCAGATCTGCTCCAAGTCTCAGCGTGTGTGTGACCCTCGTAACAAGCACAGACCTGCGAAACACTGGCGGAAAACTGCTATACAGCAGCTAGTATGATGTGTAAGTACTGTGTGGTCTTGTTCCAGCAGCCTACATAGACCCAGGGTGGCGTCAGGTGGATGGAAGTGCGCCAAACCGCTTGCCCGGGGACGATATGGAAAAAGTCCCACATCGGAAAAAAGCCTGATTTCTGAGACAGTACTTCTCCAACGCTGTTTTCCCGACCCAGGACGCCACACACCCTCTTTTCCCTTCGTCTCTTCAGCGGGGAGGACTAAAGCTACGCGGAGGTGCCTTCATAGTTGACGGTGGTGGGCTGTAGTGGTGGCGGTGCCGGAAAACGTCGACAAAAAAACAAAACAAAAAACGGCATACAAAAGAATCAGAAAAAAAACAAAATAAAACACATTCCGGTACCAACCAAAATGAAGATAGTGCCCGCGGAAATCCACCGCGCGGCTGGTCCGTTTTGCTTCCCTCCCCACCCGCCCACACCCGACGTCCCTCGGCGTCCCGACGTTCCTCGGTGTAGCGGTGTAGCAGACAGGCACACGACGGCTTTCTCGTGTCTTTGAACTCCACCATCCCACAGCTACGTATTTCCGGGCCCCGCCAGCTGATGATGTAGAGTGCACGCGGTACCCCACGCGCCTTGATGTTCGCTGCCCCCTTCCCGCTCTTGGTAGAAGGCAGCCACGGCCACTGCCGTGCTGCTGGGTGTGGCCAAATACTCCAGCACTTCTCACACAACTCCCGTGATACCCCGCTTATCCATCGGGGCCAGGAAGCACTTCTCTCCCCGCATATCCATCGGGGCCAGCAAGATTTTGCTGGTGCCCTTCCCCGCACACAAGACGGGTTGGGTTCGCGTGCCCCCTCCTACACGCTCCTTAATGGGGAAAAACACAAGAGAGCACACACTACTCTCAAGTGTACACGAGTGTTCTTCACCCGTGTTCGCGGGCCACATACCTTGCGGGTACAACCCGCGGGCATTCCCGCTCCGGCCTTGTCTCCAGACCCGCCCCAGCAGACATTGGTGTTGTATACCTCCAGGCCATCTCCCGGTCTTGTGTTCCTTCCATCCTGCTGGGGTGCAGGCGACAGAACTCCACCGCCTCCACGTGCCCCCTCCTACACGCCCTTTTAATGGGGACAAACCGATATAGCAACCGGCTCGGGAGTAGCGGATACTCTCCTCTGCTCCTACGACCCGCACCTGCGGGCGAGCGGCAGCCTCCGTGCTCCCGCTCTATGG